GAGGGAATTCCAAACCCAATTTTCTGCCACCAAGTCCACTCCAAACTTGTAGTGACCATCCAGGACAGGGCAGAACTGCCCCTATGGGTTTCTCTTTACAGAAGTGGAAATCCTCTTCTCGCTCTGAGAGGAGGTTTGAAAGGAACTGCTGCCCTGTGGCTAGCAGCCCCATAGGTCACCACCATGCCACCTGGATGGGGCCTTAGGATGTTAGATAGGTACTGGCTCCAAGGAACTCTCAATCTGAAACAATGGGAGTCCTGGGGACTTTTAAAAAACTTCAGCTCTAAGTTTCTGCTCACCAGGCACCTCTGGTAGAGGGAATTTAGAGAACCTTCACTTTAGAGAAAGAATTGAAGCCACCTTGTGCTCATTCCTGGCTTCCTGTAGCTGGGAATCCCTTCTGTACTCTGAATACAGAAGTCAGGTAAAGGACTTCAGGACTGTTTAATGACAGTGTCTGGGAGCCTCCCAAAGAAGAAGAGAATTCACCACCACATGGCCAGAGACCTGGGCCATTCTGCCCACCATCTCCTCAAGATCCCAAACCCTAATTTTGTTAGAGACAGAATGAAATTCCAATTTGCACATGCATCATCCTATGATGGTAGTTTATTTCTACCTGTGATTGACCTACCTGTGTAGCCCTTGTAAGCCTGGATCCAATTCTCACCTTGGATTCCATTACCGTGGGCATCCTTGCCCGGGCCTGTATTCTACCGGTGCGTATATGTGCAGGGTTCAGGGACATGTGCTGTGTAGCTGGTAGTCCTCTGAGAGCCTCATTTCCCCATGGACTCTCACCCCGGGCTGCTCACTGGGATCTCCTGGGAGCTTTAAGGGTGCTCCTGTAAGGTGCCACCTCCAGAATTCCCTCTCATTTGGTCTGGGGTACAGACTGGTCATTTAAAAACTGCCCAAGGGCAGTCTAGGTGAAGCCAAGGGTGAGAACCGCCCCCCCGCCCCCACCATGAACCTTTCCTGAATTGGTATTCCCTCTGCTCTTTTGCTTTATTTTTGAGAAGCAGCCTTATTGATGTTTAATTGATATAAATGGCACAGGGTTTGCCCTCCCCGGAGCCCTTCTTGACCTTGTATTCCTTCTGCTCTTTTATTGTATGTGTGTGTTTGTTTTAAAACAACCTTATTGACGTTCAACTGATATAAATGGGATATATATATATATATATATATATATATATATATGGCGCTTTGATAAGCTTTGACCTATGTACACACTTGTGAAGTGTCCCCACGATCAAGAGGATGAACATATCTAACACCCCTCCCTCCCACCACTTCTCCTCACCCCACCGCCTAAAGGCAGCCCCTGACTTTTATAGAAACGGCAGAATGTGCTCTGTTCTTTCACTCAGCATAATTACCTTGAGATTCAACCGTCTTGTGGCAAGTGCCAACAGTTCTTTTCTTTTGTATTGTTCCGTGATACTCCATTGTGTGAGCCAACCACAATTTGCTTATTCCTTCACTTATTGATAGTCTTCTGCGGTTGTCTCCTGTTTGGGGCTATTATGAATAAAGCTTCTATATATGCTCATATCCAACTCACCGTGTGGGCATGTGCTTTTATTTCTCGTGGATAAGTACTCAGAAACGGTACATGATAGGTATACGTTCAACTTTTAGAGAAAATGGCTTCAGCTATTTAGAGCCTTACAGGCAGGCTCTTTGCACCCCCATATTATTGAGGAGGAAACAAAGTACAAGGTGGCATCTGATCACTGCTAACTTCACAAGGGGGCAGGAAAATCACCCTCACCAGCCAGCCCCGGCCACTTCTTATGAGGTTGAGGTCAGACAGGCCCCGTCCTGTCCTCCCACTTCCTATCAATTCTGACATCGGCACGCCTTCCTTTTCAGCTGGGCTCTGTAAGGAATGCATTGCAATGGCCACACAGAGCTCACAGTTACAGGGTTTTTTAGGGAAGTCAGCAGGTTACCATTTAGGATCAGAGATGCTCAGGATGTAGTTCTCTGGTCAGGACAGCCTCTTCTCAGCCATGCTTACATAGTGGGCAGACTTGGGCTTTTCTGACCTAGTGGGCTCCCTGGATGGAGGATCCAGGCTGTGCCGCCTCACATGCCTCCCACTGCTTTGGGACTCCGGTCCTTCCAGGCTGTCAGCAGCCTCACCACCACGGAGGGCGGCCGCTGACTTCAGGAGCCCGGTGACCCAGGAACGGGGGGTTTCCATGACATCGTGAGCGGGGTGGGGG